GGGAGTTCCCGTTTGAGTGGATTTTGCTATGTGTTGGGTTCTAAATGGTCTCTCGAGTTTGGTATAGGTGTATTGATTATATAGAGTGGTTGGAGGGAGCATTTGGATTGTAATAGTGTAGTTCCCAGAGATTCCAACCGAGTCAGATTTCGAGGACAAAATCCAGTTTAAGTGGGGGAGAATTATAACACCTAGTTTTAGGATGTTTTTAATACCGGGATAGCAGGCCGTAAATGGATCGAGTAAATGTCTTGGGCTTTAAGGTAATAAAGTCTATACCCTTTCGGATGTTGATGATGTTGGATTGAGAGATTTAACCCCTCAATTTGTGCTTTGAAGCAAAAGGGTAAAATGGGAAAAGTAATATTCTGGTTTTTGATATGAATTATGGTTTTAGATCGACATGTATTAAGTTAAAAGTAATTATATATAGTTGTGGGGTTCGCCAATAACTTTCCATGCATATAAAGATCACCAAAAATGGAGTTGAAACGAAGAAGTTATGATTGTTTGACGCTGGAGTGAAATTTGGTGAAAACCCATCGTCACGAGGTGACAGGCATGCTGTCGCGAGGTGACAAGCATGTTGTCACGACGTGAGAGCTGTCACGAGGTGAAAAATAGGCTGTCACGAGGTGAGCGTTATGCAGCCCATGCCCATGGATTTTAGGGTTTTCAACGTATTTAAAGGTAAGGATTGATGTTTTAGGGTATTTTCTTAGCCTCCATTACATCTAGAACTCCTTAGGAGCAACCATATCCTCCCTCTTCAAGATTTGAGCTCCTCCTCTCTCATCTCTCCTCTTTTGGATGCTTTTGGTGATATTTTGATAAAGCTTGAAGATCAAGAAGGTTCTTTTGGTTGCAAGGAATGTTGTTTCAAGTTTGGATCCATCAAAGTCACTCCATTTCTAGAGTACTGTGAGTATAAAGTTCATATATTGCTCTTTAGTTCTTTAGATCTATTCATTTGTGGCTTTTGGCACTTTTGGTCCATTTTATGGGTGATATTGGAGTTGAGTGAACTCCAAAATCATTTGATCAGTTTGGAATGCTTCTTAGACCTCATGGACTAGGAAAGTTACGATCTTTTGCCTTCCCTTTTATCCAAGCAAGTTATCTTGGTCCTTTAGTTTATTTTGGTGTATTAAAGTTTAGATCTTGAAAGTTTGAGACATTATTATGGATAAAGTTGGAAACTTTATCCATATAAACGTCATGTTGATTCAGATATGAAGGTTGGAGACTTAGACTTAATGGATTTAGTTGAGAAAGATGCATTCTTGGCCCCTTTTGAGACTTAAAGACTAGATCTTGGTTGTTTGGACCATCCTAATGGATAAATTTGGAAACTTTATCCATTATGAAGCTATTTAGGAACTATATCCAATGTTATGGGCCTTGGTCTGAAGAGATTAAGCACTTAATGAAGATTTTGGCTTTCTGACCAGAAGTCACGACATGCCATGGGATGTGTCACGACGTGACGGTGCCCAAAATCACGATTGTTTGTCTTTTCTTCCCTACGACGTGACCAATGAATGGTCACGACATGACGTTGACTTTGACTAAGTTGACCGTTAACCTTGTGGATCTTTTGACCGTTGACTTTTGACCAGTTTGACCTTGCGTCAAACTTGGAGAAAATTGGGTGTTAATTGAGGATTTATCTGTTTTAGGTGTTAGTCGGTTCGAGGGATTGATCAGTGCAAGGAGCTAGAGTGTGGTTGTGTTTCTCCAGTTCTGCGAGGTGAGTTTTTCTCACTGTACACGTGGGTCGAAGGCACCAATGCCAACCCTCTAGGTTGTGTTATGTATCCTTGTGTATAGGATGTTGCTATGTTGTAGTGATTTGTTAGAATGGTAGATCTGTATGACTACCTGTACTTGATGGTTATCGTTTATCTGTTGCATATGTCAACATACCGCGGTTAGCTTAAGATGGTACTGCTTTTTGCGGTAAACCAACAAACCCGGGAGCAAACCAAACATAATATGAGGGTCGGGAGGGCAATCCAACCTTATGTTGTGGGCTCGGGAGCAATCCAGACATAAGCTAAGGGCCGCCGAGAGTGCAATACATACTTATGTTGTGGGCTCAGGGGTAATCAAGTCTGATGAATGTGGACCTAGTATGCTTGTTTTTATATGTTTTATTTGTGTGGGGGTATTTTGGGGGAACTCACTAAGCTTTGGCTTACAGTTGTTGATTCAAATGTTTTTCAAGTACTTATCGGATTGCAAAGTCGGGACTGTACACACGCATATCAACGGTTTTATGATTCGAGATTCCGCATTGTTTCTTTATAACTCTGATTTTGAATTATGGTTTTTGAACAAACGGTTTGACTTAGTGTAATTTCATAAAAATGGGTGTTTATTCTACTTTAACAATGAAAAATTTTATTCTGGAATTTGGGATGTTACATATACTATATGTTCGGTGAATGCGGAATGCATGTTTATATAAGATCAAATTATAAATCGATACGACAGAAAGGCAGGGTCAAAGGGGATGCACCTCTTTACAGGGTCATAGGGGCAGTGCCCCATAAGGTCTTTGGAAATTTGAATTAGTTTCTTTATGGAAAATCCGAATTCTAGTGGGTAATTATGGTAAGATTGACAAATCTTGTCAGTTTTGGAAAACATTGATTATGCCATTAATTTCGAAATTTTCTTAACTAATTTAGAAGATAAACCCTAATCTGTCATGCATATATACGAATCCTCTTTTGAGCCATATAGAGAACCCTTTTCTCAGATCTTCTTCTTCGAAAATGTATACAGAATACTCTAGCGATTTGGCTTATGTTTATGTGCCTAGATACACAAGTGTCCTTTTGGATTATCTTAGACTGAATTTCCAGTAACCTAGACATATGGTGGAAATATCAGTCCAGTTTTCCACCATCACCCTAATAATTCCCCCCACAGAAACCGTAGGTTTCATTAATCGTCTACTGCTTTGTTGGCTATTTTTGGCTAAAAACTAATTTTTTGCTATTAAGTAAAAAGTCATTAGGGAAATGACAAGATTTGTAATTTTCTATTATAACAAATAGATTTTTGTTGGATTGAGGTATAGCCACAAGGAAATTAGGGTTAAGGTCGTAAGGGGAGTAGGTTCGGCCAAGATTCATGAGAGGGAAAAGGGACTGAGAAAGCCAGGAGAGAGAAAGATTTGAGACGATAATTGATTATCGCTTCGATACCGTGTCAACAAATGTTTTTTCCCATAATCATAAATGATTCTCATCAAATACTTAATAAATATTGTATACAATCAAGAGTAGGGCATGGGCCAAGATATGCTAAATGTAGGGATGAGCATTAGGACCACCGGAACCGGAACCGGACCGGAACCGAACCAGAACCGAACCAGAACCGGAACCGGAATTGGTAACAAGGTCCGGTTACCAGTTCTCAATTTTTTTGAAAACCGGTCCTGGTTCTAAAAACCAGAACCGGTTTGACAATTTTCCCGTTTTTTAAAATGTGCATAACTCACTCATATGAAGTCAGAATTATTTGATTTTTTTCCAACATGCAATTGGGAGTTTGTAATTCTATTTTGACTGTACAAACATATGTTTTCGTTAGATATTGAATCAGACACATGCCCTGAAAGAAAGAATATTGATGCTGCGTTTTCTCTATTTCAACATTTTTTTTTGTTTTTCTGAATCTGTCTTATTTTTTTTAAATGTGCATAACTCATTCATATGACGTTAAAATTACTTAATTTTTTTTCCAACATGTAATTTAGTGTTTGTACTTCATTTTAGACTATAAAAACACATATTTTGGTTAGATAATAAATCAGTTATAGACCTCAGAAGACAACATATCAATGCTGCGTATTTTCTGTTTCAACATTTTTTTTTGGAATTTGTCCCGCTTTTAAATGCGCATAACTCATTCATATGAAGTCGGAATGACTTGATTCTTTTTTCATCATGTAATTTAGTGTTTGTACTTCAATTTAGAATGTAAAAAGTCATAATTTGGTTAAATATTGAATCATTTACAAGCTCCTGAAGATAACATATCATCTATAATATTTCAACCGGTTCTAGTTTGAAAAATAACCGAAAAATCGGGACCGGAACCGGCGCTAGAACTGGCGGTCCAGTTCCCGGTTCTTATAATATAGGACAACCAGTTTCGGTTCTAAAGTTCATCCCTAGCTAAATGTACACTACAAGATTTATACAAATGGGTCAATGACTATACATAAACTAATATGATGTTATTCATATTATGATCATATCAAGAAACATACATATGAACTTATATAAGATCGGTCCATGCTTTATATTCGATGATATCAAAACAAATGATGATTAGGACGACAAGTCATTTATCATTAAAAACTATTAATTTTTATTAATTTTAGCAACGACTTTAAAGTAAGTAAAATCTGTCCATACTCGTCTGAGATTTTCGACGGATGTGACGCGAGCATTTCCTTCGTCCATCATTAATCCATCGCAATTGTCTGATACTCATTTCTGGTGTAGCATCTTTCTTTGATTGATCGTCTAATCAATCCTATACCCTTCATAAGAATTTCAAATCCGATATCTTTCGTTTCACGGGACTGACCATGGCCCAATACCGATACATATATAACAGAAATATGAAGTTATAGATCTTGGGCGCTTATGCAAGACCCATCGATGCATATGAGCTGAATGAATGGAGCCACATTGGGTTCGACCCCAAAATGCACTTCAAACTTGACAATGTATATATTCCCGGAGTAATATACAAATGAATATGGAACATCAACATCAATGTATAGCTCAAATAGACCAATGATGAATTAATTAAAGATAACAATTGTAATGCACAAGGGCTATACACGTTCTGTTCACTTATGTCAAGGATGCAAACACATAAATATGTGTTTATGAAATGTCTATTCACCTCTCACCGCCTTCACTGCTCCAAGAGACAGAAAGCAAGTGCTTATTTGGTTGATGGCGGCATTAATGTCATTTGCTAATTGGCACGCATACACAAGAACAAACCTTTCTACACCAAGATTTCAAGAGCTTTGAAAGCCGTGTCACTGGGACTATACTCTTGGAAGTTGATGCAGGATTGGTTACTTTTAATGGAACCCCAACGACTACATTAACAGGCTCTATACTGGGAGCTGGTGTAGAACTAGTTAATTGTGATGGAACCCCAGTGACTCCAATAACCAGTTCTAGGACCTCACTCATCTTTAGCCTTAACATCAGGTTCTTTTTTAAGCAAAGTTCAGCTATAGTGACTAACGCCTGTGCTGACTTCAGTGAATACACACCTTCAAGTCTCGGATCAATGATAGGCTGGAGATTTTGGAGTGTACGTAAGGTCGCACCCATTCTAGAAGTTTCTGCTCGTTTTTAGGTGGATTCCTATCGAATGGTTGCCTACCTGTGATAAGTTCATATAGAAAGACCCTGTAGCTCCATACATCGCTCTTGGATGACATATGCCCTGTATGGATGTACTCTGGAGCCATATATGGCATCGTAGCTATGAGGTCATGGTCATCAATGTCTCCTCTTTGAGAACCTACCATAGCCACCCCAAGATCCGAAAGCTTAGCGTTCTATTGATCATCTAGAAGGAGCTTGGAAGAATTGAAATACCTGAAAAGAATCTACAAAAAACCAACGTTAGTGTCTTATTTGTAATAATGTCCATTTCTAAACTACTTTTTCCCTTATTTTCCTAGATACCTGAATGTCCATTCCTTCATGTAGATATGCCAAGCCACATGCAGCGTCTTGAGCCACTTTAAGTCTCATTTCCCAGGAAAGAGGTGTTTCAGATTTTGTAGATAAATGATCCCTCACGTTTCTGTTAGGCATGTATTTGTAGACTAAAAGCAGTTGCATAATTTCTCTTTCATTTTCTTCAGCACAATAACCAACTAGTTTTACAAGGTTTGGATGGTCAACCACCCCAAGAAGACGAACCTCAGATAACCAATCTTTGTGATCCTGTTGCAATATAATCAAGATTATCAATAAAACTCAGACATATAATTAATCATGATGCAAAGTCAAAGTTGAAGGAGAGAAACTTGCCTTCGTTACTCCTTTGAGGTGCTTTACAATGACCTCGATCTTATCAAAAGGATGTTCCAAACTCTTGACCATACCCTTATATACACTTCCATATCTACCGTTTCCAATCTTCCAAGAACTGCGAAAATTATTAGTTGCGACCTTGAGCTCCGCGACTGTGAAAACTCTCAAACTGTTTGGTTTTCCGGCCAAGTTTGAGGATATTGACGACCTCGGTTTTGTTCTGGATTCATTTGCGATCTTCCTACTGTCATCATCGAACGAGAAACATCGGCAATAAAACACCATTCTTGGTTCAAATCATTGAATTTAGAAAACCAGATTTAGAAAAAAGTTCCATCAAAATTTGACCATAAAAGATTGAAAGCAAGTTGCCAACCATGCAGTTGACTCTTTATTCTTAACAAACACTTTATATTGGGAATATTTTTGTTTTCAGAAATTGCCATAATTAACGGGATGGATTGTGTATACCAAGTAAACGCTCAACTTATTTTATGTTATACACTAGGTATGAAACCCGTGTATTAAACGGGTTGATTTAAAAAAGATTAAACATTAAAGTGTAAACAAAAAATATTTTTTAATGTACAACTTAAAAATAAGAAAAAAAACATATTTATTACAATTTAATATCATATATATGATATTTAATACTTTACATATATAAATATATATGATTTTAATTTTAAAAATTGAAACAAACCAAAAATTAACAAGTGGATAATATTTATTTCAAAAATACCACAAAATGACAAGTGTCAAAATCATGAGAGATTGATATGTGACAAAAAAAACTTTCATTTATTAAGGAGGATTATTTATTATAATTAATTACAAAATTTCTTTTTCATATCATATTCTTGTTATTATATTACTGTCATATAATATAAAATTTATATACTACGTATTATCAATATCAATGCTATTAGAATAATTATACTCTATATCAATTTATATATGAAAATAGTTTTCAACTATACGTTGTATTATTGTTCATATATAAAGTAAGTAAGTAACTAGTCATTTATTTTAGCTTGAAATTTCAAAATATAATACATAAGTAATTAATCTTCAATTTATATAAATTGTAAAATATAACTCATTATTTATTATGTAACTTGGAGGGGGTGGGTATTACAAATAAGTTATGCACGATGTGTAACGCTTTTGAGGAAAATGAAGATCATATATTTAAAGATTGTTCAACCACTAAGGAGTTGGGAGCACTTCTACCAGTTTGGTGGAAGGATGCTCTCAATGACAATGACTATATGGACAACATCATTGGAGTAAACTTAATCCACAAAATGGACGCGATCTCTAAGGCCTTCTTATGGGTTATAAGGACATAATCTTTAATAGCAAAGTGAAAAACCCTTCTCTTCTTGCTTTTGATGTGAAGGCGTTAGGGTTTTTTTTGCCTTAAAAATAAAGCTAGGTGGGGGATATCTTTGTCTTGGGACCATGGGGTAATAACTCAATCTATTATAGTTTGTAATTCAAACTTCTTGCTGTTTTTTATTTAATAAAGTCTTATTACTATTATAATAAATTATTATGTAACTCGAAAATTAAAAAGTATAATTTATCATTTTCTATCAAACATTAAATTTTTTTTAAAGAGTTAAGTATCACATATTCTTCAACAATAATAAATTTCCAAAAATAACATCACACTTGTTATACAAGTTGCAATATAAAAGAGAATGATCCTATCACTTTCTATTTTCTAATTACTACTCCTCTACAATCACTATCATTCAACATCTACAATAACTCTTTCACATGTTTCCTACAAATCGAATGACAAGTTTCATCCCATAGCTATCATAGAAAACCAAATGTCATGAAAATGAGAGAAATTTGTCCGCTAACAACACATGAGGATTTTCAACCAACATGGTATGAGTATACTCATTTTTTTTTGATTTTCTAATAAATTCTATATATACTCTTCCTAAAAATTTCAAACTCTGATTTCTTTCGTTTCATGAGACTGATGTTGACCAATATGTAATGAAATATCTTGCGCGCTTATGAATGCAGCCACATTGGGTTTGACCCCGAAATGCACTGCAAACTTGACAGCGTATTTTGGACCAATATACAAATGCATAGAGAACATCAAGATTAATGTATAACTCAAAATAGACCAATGATGAATTAAGATAACAATTGTAATGCACAAGGGCTATGCACATTCCATTCACTTATGTCAAAGACGCAAATACATAAAACTTACAGGCCTTGATGGCGACATGAATGTTATTTCTTACTTGCTATGCAGACACAACAACAAGCCTTGCTAAACCAAGATTTCAAGAGTTTTGAACTCTTGGGAGCTGGTGTCGGATTGGTTACTTGTGATGGAACCCCAGTGACTCCATTAACAAGTTCTAGAACCTCACTCATCTTTAGCCTTGTTCTCGGGTTCCTTTTTAAGCAAAGATCGGCTATAGTGACCAACGCCTGTGCTGACTTCATAGAGCACATACCTTGATCAAGTCTCGGATCGATGATAGGCTGGAGATTTTTGGAGTGTACGTAGGGTTTCACCCATTCTATAAGCTTCTGCTCGTTTTGAGGCCGATTCTTATCCACTGGTTTCCTACCCGTGATAAGTTCATATAGGAAGACCCCGTAGCTCCATACATCACTCTTGGATGACACTTTCCCTGTTAGAATGTACTCTGGGGCCGAATATGCCACGTTTCCTACAAACGCATCAGTGTCTCCTTCTTGAGAACCTATTCGAGCCACCCCAAGATCCGAAAGCTTAGCATTCCATTGATTGTCTAGAAGGAGCCTGGAAGAATTGAAATCCCTAAGAAGAATCTACAAAAAAACCAAAGTTAACGTCTTGTTATAAGCATGATGCATGCCCATTTGTAAACTACTTTTTCCTTTCTTATCGTATGGCAAGGCATTTAAACTACCTGAATGTCCATTCCCTCATGTAGATATGCCAGGCCACGGGCAGCATCTTGAGCCACTTTCAGTCTCATGGTCCATGAAAGAGGTGCTTCGGACGTTGTAGACAAATGATCCCTCACGCTTCTGTTAGGCATGTAATTGTAGACTAATAACAGCTGTACTATTCCTCTTTCATTGTCTTTCACACAGTAACCAACTAGTTTGACAAGGTTTGGATGCTCAACTACCCCCAAAAAGTTAACCTCATCTAACCAGTTGCGTTCCTGTTACAACATAGTTAAGATTTTCAATGAAACTCAAACGCATAACGAGTTATGAATGGATAAATTAGCCTAATCAACATGGCAATGCAAAGGTAAAACTGGTAAGACTTTGACTAAAAAGCTCTTTAAAAATATACTAATACCAACTAATTATTAGTTGTGTTTCTCCATCGTTTTGCTGGGACATAATTAATAATAAACTAGGGGATGTAAATTGTGTGAGCGCAGGTAAGGAAAGCACCAATAATGCATTAATGAACAGGTTGCAAAAACAGAATCCATAACAAACTACGACATGGAAACCCGTTAGATGCTAAATCAATCTTCTAACAAGCAATGTAAATCAGTTTTGCACTTGAAAAATTCATCTGAACTTAAAAAAAAAAAAATACAAACAGGAAGGCATTCGTCATGTTAATTCGAACTTAGAAAGAAAAAAAAAAGTTGAGGCAGACAAACTTGCCTTCGTTACTCGTTTGGCGTACTTGATAGCAACCTGTATCTTATTAAAAGGATGTTCCAAACTCTTAACCACACCCTTATATATGCTTCCATATCTACCTTCTCCAATCTTCCTAGCACTACTGAAATTATCAGTTGCTTCCTCGAGCTGAGCGACTGTGAAAACCCTCAACGAGTTTGGTTTTCCGGGCAAGTTTGAGGATGCTGATGAAGCACTAGCAGTATAAAAAGTTTGGGCTGAAGACGATTGTGTTTGACTTTCGGATTCATATTCGATCTCTTCAGTTGAAGTCGATTCTGTTTTAGTTCTGGGTTCATATTTAATCTCTTCCTCTTCTCCAAACGAGAAACAACGCCAATAAAACACCATTTTTGATTCAAATCAACTTCAAAAGGCCAGAATTTAAGAAAAAGATCAATGGAGAATTTGAAGGTGAAGGCAAGGGGAAGTTTCCTTTCCAGCCATATAATTGACTTTCTAATTTTTATTCTTAACAAAACACTCTCTTCTATTTTGGGAATTTGTTTTTAGAAATTACATAATTTACTGGTGAAGTTATATATGGTTTTATATACCAACACTATCAATTTATTTAAGATTTAAGATTTTAGATTCTCTATCATTACAATCTATTTTTAATCATAGACATGATAATTATTTTATTTTATTATATACTAGGTATGAGACCAATTTATTACATACGTTTATTTAAAAGAAAAAATATAAACTTCTAAATATTTGAGAAGTTTGAATTTATAAGAAAAATGAGAAAAATATTGAGTTATAAAAATTAAAGTGTTTTTTTCTCTAAATTTAAACAAATAGTTTAGATAAATAAATAAAGAAATTTAATGAAGCTTTAATTTAGTAATTTTGAAATTAAAAAAAGAAGTTCATTAAGAAAATTAATATGCATTTATGATTGCATTTAAATACTATGTGAAATTTAATAAAATAGAAAAACCATAAAGTGTAGAATAAAAATTAATTCAAAATAACCAAAAAAATAACATTTAGCAAATTAAATGAGAGTGTGACAAGTGGCAAAAAAAAAACCTTCATTTTATTAGAGTAAAATTATTATTCTATTGGTAGCTTTTATATAGGTGTCTTAGGCAATGTTTTATATACCAATTTTTTAGTTGAACTGATATGGTAACTGGTTTTCGGTTCAACCGCCGAGTAAATCCGTTTCTATAATTTTCATATTTTTTTTTCGTATTTCCTACACATACATACATACATACATACATAAATTAAGAATTTGATGTCCACAAGTTCAAACATTAAAAATACACATGAAAACAAATTGTAGATCAACCTAAATACATTAAAATAACACATAACCATAAGTTTTACATCAATCCACGTGCATTAAAAAAAATAAAGTCATATATGAATACAAGCGCTTTAAAAAACTTCATAACATTTATCATGAGCTTTTATTAAGAAAAATCTTAATAGATGTGAAAAAACCACCAAAGTTTATTATGTAAAATGTTTCAATTCTATGTGTTTTTATTCAATTTAACCGGTTCAACCAGATTTTTGTAAAAAACGGTCAGTTCGTTCTAGTTCATAAATAGACATAAAACCGATGATACTTGAATCGCTTTCTTCCCCGATTCCCGGTCCAACCGGATCGACCGACTGATTCAAACCGGTTTTTAAAACATTGGTCTTAGGCATCCACAATCCATTGATCTCTATAATGTTCAATGAATTGTCACATAATCCATTAAACATCTATACAACACCACCCACAACTTATTAAATACATAATCAATCCTAATCACTACTTTATTCTTTCTATTGAACCATTCAATGATCATTTAACTCCACTCTATGTCATCACCCACACTCCATTCAAATTTTATTCAATCCTAGTCATCACCCTTTTTAACTCTTATACTACTTACATTGTGGATGATCTAAGCACCTAGCTTTAGAAGCTTTCTTTGGGTTTTTAAGAAATTCAAAAAATTAAATTTGGTGGTAGGATTTTTTAATTTTGGGTTAAATAAAAATTTAAATCCAAAAACTACTTTTTAATAATTTTTTTAGCTTTTAAAAAGTTGAATAAAATACCCTTTAAAATAAATAAATCATATCCATATTTTTGGTAATTATCAAACACGATTACATATAAATATATTTTAATAGTTATGATGAATTTATTTCAAACAAAACATATCTTATATAATTAAATATAAGTATAGTTTAACAATTATGATTTCTTTATTTGAAAATACCATATAAATGGATTTTATAATTTATTAACCTTCATTTAACAAAATAATAAATATTTATTATATGAATTTATAATCCAAAATTAATATCATACAATAATATTGTTTCTTTTTAGAATGTTGAACACTTTTAATATGTACAAAATGTTTGGCATAAGTTCTTACATAGATTGTGCTTGGCGTGACACAACTAGCTGGTAACCTATCATGTTTTTCTGGAGTTTTTTTTAGTTGTAATGGATGCTTATAAGATACATTTTTAAAAAATTTACTTGAACTAACTTTTCTGAGTTTTTTTAAAATATTCCAAATATATCCTTAATTATTTATAGAAAACTCATTATCTTAAACGTCAATTTATGTCATTTTATATCTTCCAGCTAACTTATTAACTAGTTTTTACCAAACATCATTTATTATCAGCCAACTTATAAGTTAGCTGCTAACTTTTCAAGTATCAGCTAATTTTTTTCACCACCAGCTAGCATGTAGTTTTACTTGTAAAAGATTCATCATTTACTAATATTCATAAAAAAATTGATATCAATTGAAAAGCTTAACCGATGCATTTGGTATTAAAAATTTAGATGATTTCTATGTAATTTTATATATTTCAAAAGCATCCAGCTATATATGGTAATAAAAATCTAATGCTTTTTTATCTTTATAATTAAATCAAATGATATAGTTTTGACTTTTTATTATAAATTTTATCGTGTAATATCAACGTTCTAAATAACTTAAGGCGTGACTTGGCGGCAATGTCAAGCCTCAAGCTTTTCCGAGCCTTGACGAGTCACGGCGTTTGTAAGGCGTGACTTAAGGCGGCAATATTCTATATAATTAATATTTTTATATGTATTTTCAACTATTATTCATTTTTATACACATATATGAGTTAAGACGGTGTTTTAGCAAAGCTTGGCGGCAGGTGCAAGCCTTGGAGCCGTGACGCGCCATGGCGGAGCCATGACGAGCTTATTAGAACCTTGCGTAATATTATGGTTGTAAACGAACCGAACGAACACGAACAATAGTTTGTTGATGTTCGTTCGTTTAAGTTAGCCGAACAAATGAACGAACACGAATATATAAACGAACGAATTTTCTTATTCATGTTAGTTCGTTTAACAAATTACATTTATCATGTTTGTTCGTTTATGTTCATGAACATGCTAAATGAATATAAATAAACAAAGATAAAGAAACATAATTGAACATATAGTATAATAATATAATCAAACACAATTAAGCATATATGAACATAAAAGGAACTTATACGAACGAACATAAACGAACGCTCACGAACATAGTTGACGAACGAGACGATTGTTCATGTTCGTTCATTTAACTAAACGAACGAGAATTTGTGTTCATGTTCATTCATTTAATAAATAAACGAACATACGTGAACTTCCCACCGAACGATTCTCGAACAGTTCGTTGAACGTTCAGTTCGTTTACAACTCTACGTAATACTCATGTCAATCTTAATATATTATTATAGAAGTGTTATTCTTATATATATATACTAATATAAAATTTTCTTAACATGATATAGCAGGACATATGTTTGGTTTCAAAATATGTTTATTATTTCTTCTTATATCAGTATGAGTATGTTTTTCCTACTTCATGCCACTAAAAGAAATATTTCAATCCATATAAATTTAAGAAAGTGTATATCATTTTTTATTAAACGTGATTCATAAATATTCTTTGATTTCGAAACTAATTACATAGTTGAAATAGTCCGAGAAAATATATTTATAAACATTAAATAACTTTACAAAAACTAAAAAATAATCATAGGTCAACAATTATGATTCTAGTCAATATTTTAATCAAATTCAACAACATCGAGCCAAAAAAACATCACTATTTTTTCATTTAATCATTTCTGGATTTATGTTGCATCACCTAGGGGCATAAGTGTATAACCCCTAGTTATATAAAATTTTTATGTTATCAATGTTATTAGAATCATTATTTATACTTTATAATTGTAACGTCTATTGATGGGTTTGCTTTGAGTTATTAGTTTAAGTTTTGAAGTTAAATGAATTAGGGTTTCTGGGGTTATGTGACACATGTTTATCATGTAAACGATGTGTAGGTGCCATGTAGCCGCGACACGTGCTTCATTTAAGCACGTGATGCGTAGCCGTCTCAAGCACAAAACCGTAGGCCTCGTGTTTTGGACCCTATTTCGAGGCTCTAACTTCAAGGGTTTACTCATCTTATCAGCCCCCATCTATCATAATCGAAACCCTAGCCCCATTTGTGCGTCTTTGAAGATTTGGTGGTCTTGAATTGATTTTTGGAAGAAGAAGAAGAAGGTGTTTGAGTGCAAGGTTCTAGATCCACACAAGTTTCAACCTTCTTTCATTGCTATGGACCTTTGTAAATCATCAAGTTACAAACCTTATGGTTTAAACTTTCAAGATCTAAGTTATTAGCACTTTTGGTTCAATTTGGTCTTGTTTTTTGGAGTTTGGAGAACTCCATGTCCCAAAGATTGTTAAGTAGTGTATTCTAGATCTCTTGATGTGTTTTGATTGCAAGATTGGGTCCTTTTGTGTCCATGCAAGTTAGTTTTGGAATTTTAGCTCATATTTGGACATAGGGTTTAAGATTTGTAAATTAGAGGTTTTCTCACACCCCCGACCGGTGGCGGAAGTGTCAGGCTGTGCAACGTTAGGATGTTGGATCACAGTTATCAAATACATTGAACAATACACAAAGATATATCATAAAACATTATTTTTATTTATTATAAGGTTTACATAATTGTTTGAGATACTAGTACAAGACAAATACAAGGTGAATAACCAGATAACAAATACTTTCGACTGCACTCTTGATGATTCCGCCACTTCTGGTACTCATTCCCTTGAGAATACATGTGGTTTTAAAAGGTCAACATAATGTTGGTGAGTTCACAAGTTTTTATACTTGAAAATATTTAGTATAGTTTTTACGGTTTAATAGTTTATAAATACTATTATTTTCCTTAACTCGCTTCCTTGAGTTAGTGTGTCATGTGACTACTTCTTATGTTTCCTTTTTAGGCAATTATGTTAGTTAAGGATGAACAATGTTACAATGAGTTCCTATAAT